GAAATCTGCACCTGAACCACAACTGCGGCAATTTTACAAAGCTAGCACCGCACGGTGCAGCGGCGGTGGCAGAGCACACCTTTAACCCCAGCACTCGGGAGGCAGAGGTGGGCAGGCCTTCTCTCTTCTCTCTGAATTTGAGGCCAGCCTGGTCTACAGAGGGAATTCCAAGACAGCCAAGGCTGTTTCACAGAGAAACCCTGTCTTGAAAACACAAAACAAACAAAACCTCTAGCAATGCTTATGTGCAACTCTACAGTGTCAAAGAGCAGCAAGTTCATCTATTTTACACAAATTAGTCGAGAGTACGCAATTTAACTTTATATAAACTATGATGTTTCCAAAGACTGGATTCAGACAAACAGGAAATGATACTCTACCATACATCAAGAACAAATTAGTACAATCATCAATAGTATTGTGCTTTTTATGAATACATTCTTAAATACCCAGATAAATTAAGCACTATGTTTCTGATATATTAGCACATATTGGCATTAAGTAATCTACCTAAATTAATAAAGCCTTCACCTCCCAAAATGCCCTTGTCAAGCCAAGCCACTTTGGTCTTAAAAGAATTTCCCTGATCATCACTTGAAGAATTGTATTACTCTGTCTAGAAGATTACAAAAAACAAAACAAAACCCCAGACATAGCAAGTTTGGTGGGGATCAGAGACTCACAGGAGATAGAACCACTGAGTAACAGGCACTGCTTGCACTGAGGTACTACATCATGGCTGAGCACTATTCTTTATTTTTTTTCTTCATTTTATTTATTTATGTATTTTGTTAATGTATGAGTGCTGTCTGCATGTATGTCTGCATTCCAGAAGAGGGAATCAGATCTCATTATGGATGGTTGTGAGCCACCATGTGGTTGCTGGGAATTGAACTCAGTACCTCTGGAAGAGCAGCCAGTGCTGTTAACCAGTGAGCAATCTCACCAGCCCACCTGAGCACTATTCTAAGGACTGACCGTAATTTCCCTGCTTTCTCTCTATCCCTCCCTCCCTCCCTCTCTTTTCAAAACAGTCTTGTCATGTAGTCCATGCTAGCTATGAACATTCCTTCTAGTTCAGCCTCACAAGTGTTGGATTATAGACTACACCACCACACCCAGCCTCAGTTTCTCATTTAACCCTCATAATCACTGAAACAAACAAACTCATTTTACATATGTCAACACAAAATAGGGAGTGGTTTGTCTAAAATAACAAAATAGAAGAATGACAAAGATAGGACGTGGGTCAGAAAACTAAGGATAATTAAAGTATTATATTATTTCAACACAAGCTCAGCATGGTGGTACATGCTGTAATTTCAACATGGAAGGTAACACAATTGTTTCCTAGTTACAGGTCAGACCCTGTATCAAATATAAATTTTTTTCAACTCAATCGCCAATAAACTCACTGGATATTGTTTTTGTTGCTTTAAGTAAATAAACATTATATGGAAAATATTAAGCTAAATACCTATCTTAGCGCACACATACACACACACACACACACACACACACACACACACACACACACACAAAGACATATTACATATAAAATAACAACAACCAAAAAAAGGCCAAACCCTACAGGATCATTAAAAAAACAAAAACTTAAGGTGTAAAAAGCTTTACAAAAGTAAGACAAGGCTGGAGAAATGGTTCAGTGGTTAAGGTTAAGTGCTCTCCCAGAGGACCTGAGTTCAATTCCCAGCAACCACATGGTGGCTCACCACCATCTGTTATGGGATCTGACTCCCTCTTCTGGTGTGCATGAAGACAGGTCACTTGCATACATAAAATAAATTAAAAAAAAAAAAAAAAAAAGACAAAAAGTACAATAGAAAACAGGAGTAAATGTGATTGTACAAATATAAAAATTTAATAAATACACATAAAAGAAAGATACTGTGGGGAACACATTCAGGAATACCATGCATACACATAAAAATTGAACTCTGTCAGAAATTAAAAGTTTCTGAAAGTCAAGTGCTTTTATCTAACCTGGAATTAAAGATACACAAAAATTAAGTATTTGTATAAAAGTATGAAACTGTGAAAAAAAAATAAAGTAAAACAAGTATATGAGTTAAATGCTGATAGTTCATAAATATATTTTTAAAACAAAAGACTACCAGGAGTTATAAAAATTATAATAAACACTAACAGTACATAAAGAAAAACTGTTAGAACTTTTATCTAGTCTTACTAGCCCAACTAGAAATCATTTAGAGAATACTATCATAAATCACAACGTTCTATTTTCAAATAACAGATCAGATTCACATACTTGATGGAAAGCATGGATCATCGGGGTAAGTTTCTCTATCATATAAGAAGGGGTGATACCGGATAACCCCTTCAACCACACCATCTCCTTCAACATGAGCCTTGAACTCAAAACTATCAGATGCTGTGTTTATATACAATGTCTGCATGTCATCTTTTATTTCCCTTAGGTTGACAATCTTAGGTGTCTTTCCTTTTTCAAACAAAGAAATCTAAAATAAAAATAAAATAGAAATAATTAAATTCTATGGTAACTTTACTTTTCACAGCCAAGCTCCAACCACAGAATAGGCAAGACTACATTCATTTGTAAAGTAATCATCCAGTTAACAAATTATACATATTTATGCATGGATCAAAACTCAGTAAAGACTACACAATAATAAAATAGAAAGGAGTAAATCAGCACTGAAGGACAGATAAGTCATAAGCATATTACATTTAAGGACATTTTACATGAGATTCCTCAGTGTTTAGACAAGGAAATGCAGAACCCAGTATTAAAATGTTCTGTGCACCACAAGACTTTCAAAAACAAATAAGATGCCATGAACAGATATATCCCTCTCTTTCTTTGCTTTCAAAAGTATTATATCCAACCACAATTCTCATATCCACAGAAAAGTGAATAAAAGGGAAACCAAGGGCTGTATCCAAGGCTACAAAAATACATCTAAGAACCATCTCTTCATTAGGTATTCAAACAACCAAAGAAATTTGATGAAAAAACAAGGAGAGAAAATTTGTCTAATTACTGACTAACTTTTGTTATTCAGTATCATTTGGGATATCCTAAGGTGGACTTTTGGCTTACTTCAATATCAATATTATTGGAAGGTCCAACTTCTTTAGCTGTATTTATTTCATTTCCTTTTGGTCCATGAATATAGTAATGATAAATATGCCTAAAATGAAGAATAACATTGTAATTTATTAACACAGAACCATAGTTTACATCTTCAAAAAAAATATTTTCCCACAATTGAATACACTTCCTAGCTAAGCACTTGATCATTGGAGATGAAATGCTAAAGTCTCACACATGCTAAAGGGGCCATCTACCATTAAGCTATGCTAACTAGCCATGCACTCCAGCATTTTTTAAAACAATATTCCAATGGTAAAATAACCTCTGAAATCAAAGCATTACATTTCCATTTACAGATTCAGATACACAATTGATCTATAACAACATTTTAAGAAGTTAATAAATTCAACAAAACATAAAAAATCACTAGAAATCTTTGCTGTCTTATTTTTTAAATAAAGGTTAAACAAAATTAAAATATTTCTGATTATTCCTCAAGTAGAAATTTACAGAATTTCTTCTCATAAATAAAAAAAAAAAAAAAAAAATTAGGTTTGCCAGGCATGGTAGTACACATCTGTAATCCCAGGACTGACAGGCAGAGGTGTGAGGATTGCAAGTTCCAGGCCAGCTGAGATACACAGTGAGAATCTAACTCTAAAGAAAGAGAAGGTGGGAAAGAGGAAGGGAGAAAGGCAGAGGGAACAACACTTATCACCCTAGCTACTCTTCAAAATAATACTAACATAAAGGAAACTGCTGTGGGATGTTCTGTATGGCAAATGTGTTGCTCTGATTGGTCAATAAATAAAACACTGATTGGCCATTGGCTAGGCAGGTAGTATAGGCGGGACAAGAAGGAGAATAAAGCTGGGAAGTGGAAGGCTGAGAGAGAGAGAGAGAGACACTGCCAGCCGCCACGATGACAAACAGCATGTGAAGACGCCGGTAAGCCACAAGCCACGTGGCAAGGTATAGATTAATGGAAATGGATTAATTTAAGCTGTAAGAACAGTTAGCAAGAAGCCTGCCACAGCCATACAGTTTGTAAGAAATATAAGTCTCTATGTTTACTTGGTCGGGTTTGAGCGGCTGTGGGACTGGCAGGTGAGAGAGATTTGTCCTGACTGTGGGCCAGGCAGGAAAACTCTAGCAACAGGAAACCACTAAAACATTGTATTTTTCTTCAAAATCGTCAATGCTTAAGACCATACTTTAATTATTGTCTATTCTGAAGAATAAAATAAGTTAAAGAACAAAACAGGATATATTATTCTTTATTTTGTATACACAATTTCTTCAGTAGGAAGAAATCATAAAGGGTAGCTACTATATACTTAGAAAAGAAAATCCAATTTCCTTTTTTTTTCTTTTTTGTTTGTTTGTTTGTTTTTTTCGAGACAGGGTTTCTCTGTGTAGTTTTGGTGCCTGTCCTGGATCTCGCTCTGTAGACCAGGCTGGCCTTGAACTCACAGAGATCTGCCTGGCTCTGCCTCCTGAGTGCTGGGATTAAAGTTGTGTGCCACCGCCGCCCGGTGAAAATCCAAATTTCTTATATAAATATGTCAGGCAATAAACAGAAATTTCAAGAAAAAATGGTATTCCTAAGAGTCAATTTTATTTCCTATAAAAAACAAAAATGTACACTCTGTTAATATGTACATGTATATAATAAAGACTTAAGTACAAAAGTCTTTGGAGTAAATATTGGATGATTTTTAATTATTAATTTTGTGAAGATATATCCATTTAAAAAGAGTCAGTATTCCAGACTAAATGAAAACTGTGTAAATAATCTACTAAGAGTAAATATTTAGAGATACAGGAAAAACTTAAGTAAATCTTCTGATTTGGTGAATGAGATATATACAATCAGGATTTATTGGAATAATACAATAATATTTTAGTATTTATTATTAATTAATTTTTTTTTTTTTTTTTTTTTTTTTTTTTTTTTTTTTTTTTTTTTTTTTTTTTTGGTTTTTTCGAGACAGGGTTTCTCTGTGTAGCTTTGCGCCTTTCCTGGAACTCGCTTTGGAGACCAGGCTGGCCTCGAACTCACAGAGATCCGCCTGGCTCTGCCTCCCGAGTGCTGGGATTAAAGGCGTGCGCCACCACCGCCCGGCTTATTATTAATTATTAACATGGAACATTTTAAGGAATGCTTGTGCATTTCTTATTTCACTGGCCTAAATGTGTTAATCTGTCAAGCATTTATTACTATGTAGTAGATATTCTTGTAGACACTGAAGATATAGACATAGGCATGAATCAAAAGATTACAGTGGAGAAACAAGAATCCAGAACTACAGTATGGAAGTTTACATTACACCTGTGGGAAGAAGCAAACAGTGTGACTGAAAATCGCACTGGAGCATGATTAACTCTCCAGTTGTTCTTCACTCTGCAGCACATGTCAAAAAACCTGTGCTTCAAAATTAATGTTCAATATACGAAGCAATCTATTTCATTTCTGAATGAGTGAATGAATAACCCTTTAAAAATCAACATCAGAACAGTGCACAATGTACCAATGTGAAGAAAACTGGACCAAAGAGACTTCAATACATCTCTAATTATTTTCTGTCTTTAAGTAGGAGGCAATGGGTAAATTTTAAGTCAGGTGTGGAGTACCATGCCTGTAATGCTAATACTTGGAAGTCGGGAAGGAAGAAAATGGGAAGGGTTCCAGGTCAGCTGGGGTACATAGCAAGATCCTGCTTCAAAAACAAAACAAAACAACAACAAAAAAAGTAAGCAGGAACATTTCTTGAACCAAATTACTTACGTTAACTGTCGTGTCCAAAGATGGAAATAATTTTTCAAGTACTGTATATGTTCTGGTTGCACTCCTGTAATAACCACAGTAGTAAAGCTGTCTTTCTCTTTCTCCTCTACAATAAGATTGTGTAGGAATCTTTCATCATCATTTGTAATGTGAACAGAATCAGCTGGCTAAAAGGGTGAATACATACACAACAGATTAATTCATCTATAATTATAATCATATTTAAGTTTTAAAGTGATTCAGACATTTTATTTTTAATGTTTCAAAAACAATCTTTAATGCTGGGTATGGTATGGGTATGGTAGTACATGCATCTAATCTCAACCCTTGGGAGGCAAAGGCAGGCTGATCTCTGAATTTGAATCTAGCCTAGGCTTACAGACAGCTCCAGAACGGTCAAGGCTGGGAATGAAAAAGGGATAAACACACAGACACACAGAGAAGCTGAGATCGGTACACTGGGCTGAGGGAAAAGCAACAGTACCCCAGAAGCTTATTATATACAGTTGAACAGGGGGTATTATAAAGTTGAACCGAAAGGGGGTATTATAATATACAGTTGAGCAGGGAGGGGGTGTTATTATATACAGTTGAACAAGAAAACAGACAATTGGTAAGAGCATTTTCTGCAAAGGAACTATCTCTGTAGGGGAGCAGTCTTCAAGCCACTATCATTGGAGGGAGGAAGCTACAATGGAGATTTTCTGCACATACTCAGATCAAGAAGGGATGCTGCCATTTCCATGAACCTAACCTTTAGGGAAGGCACTGCCATTTTCCCACAGGTCTGAGGCTCATGTCAACCCCACACATCTACTTAGGACTTCAACTGCTCCCTACAAAGAGCCTCAAATCCATCCACATTCTGAAAATCACTAGCAAGTCAAGAAGAGTTCAACTGAAATACCTGCAAAGAACTGTTCAAAGGGAGCACAAGGGATGATATTGCAGAAAGAGAGCAATCTGCTCAGTTCCTAGCACCTACATCAGGTGACTTATGGTTAACCATTGACAACTCAAGTTCCAGGGGATCAGATGCTTCCTCTGGTCTGTGTGTGTAACTGCATGCCCATGCACAAACACAGCCCCCGCACAATAAAATTATAAATAAAAAATAAATCTTTTTAGAAAAGAATTATTAAAGAAAGGAAGGAAGGAAGGAAGGAAGGAAGGAAGGAAGGAAGGAAGGAAGGAAGGAAGGAAGAAAGAAAGAAAGGTAAGCAAGTACCACTGGTACCCATGAAGTGTTTGCTCAGATGAAAGAGCTCTGGGTTTGATCCTTAGCACTGGAGGAAAAAGAGCAAAAAGCAGTGATGTTATAAACTTGAAAGCATCTAGACTCCCTAGAGGCAAGCTAGCCAAGCACACCTATAAGGAATTATCTTGATTAAGGTTAGCCTATGGGAATATCTGTGAGGGATTCTCTTGATTGGGTTAATTAGTGTTATAAGACCCATCTTAAGGCAAGGATCCTAAACTGTATATATAAAGAGAGCTGAGACTAGCATTCCTCTGCCTCTATGTCTGGACCAAGAATGCTCTTGCCTCCCAATGACCTCCCTAGTTGGATGAACTTTAGTCTAGAATGGTGAGTCAAAATAAACTCAGTCTTGGTTAAGTTGCTTTTGCCAGCATATTGTCTCACAGCAATAGAAAAGACATTCAACAAAACAGCAGCCAATACATGCAGCATGTCTGCAATCCTAACACTCTTGGAGACTGAGTTCAAGCGTAGCTTGGACTATATAATGAGTACCAGACCAACCTAAACTAACATGTGAGGAGGCCCTGGCTTAGCCAAGCAAGCAAAAAACAAATACATGAACAAACTGTCTTGTTTACTCTCTACTGCTGTAAAGGGACAACATGACCACAACTACTTAGAAAAGAAAGCATTTAGTTTGGGGTTGGGGTGGGGGGGTTAATGTTCCAGAGATTACTTAGTAGAGTCCATGAGCATCATGGTGGGGAGCATGGCAGCACATAGGCAGGTACAGCACTGAGAAGTAGCTGAGAGCTTACACCTGTTCCACAAGCATGATGCAAAGAGAGAGCTAACTGGAAATGCCCTGGGCTTTTAAAATCTCAAAGCCCACTCTCCGTGACACACCTCCTCCAACAAGGCTACACCTCCTTATCCTTCCCCAACAGTTCCACCAACTGGGGATCAAGTATTCAAATATATGAACCTAGGAGGGCACTCCCATTCAAACCAGTGCATTCTACTCCCAGGCCCCCACAGCTTGTAGCCACATCATAATGTAAAATGAATTTTAATCCCATTTCAAGTCTCTAAGGTCTTTCACAAATTGCTGGATTAGTTGTTAGAGTCTCACCCTGAGGGTAGGACTCCCTTTATTCCATTTCTCCTATCTATTTCAGCACAAACCAAGGGTCCAGCATTAAATTTCCTAGTGCTGTTTCTCCCCTCAAACTGTTACATTTTGTATTTCTTGCTCTGTTTTACTCTAGATCAGCATAAGAGTGATAACTAATATATACAAGACAGAGCCAATATTAGGCTCTCTTGAAATCTCTGTAAGAAAACTATTCCAAACATTTCAATTTAGCCTCAGACAGATTCTTAGGACAGGGGCATAAAGCAGCCACATTCCTTGCCAAAATGTCACAAGAATGGTCTCTAGCCCAGTTGCTAATAGTGTTCCCCTATAAAATCTCTTGAGCTGGGCTTTCTCTCAGCAATACTGATTTCCAAGCTCAAACAAGGATGGTCCTTTAAGCCCTGCTTACAGCATTCAACTGTTTTTTAGTCCAATGTCCTAAAAATCTTCCACATTTTTCAAACAGACAAACAAATGTAGCCGGAAGATTTCTCCAGTCCTGCCTGGACCGCGGTCCCGCAGCTGCTTATAAAATAATCACTCAGAGGCTTAATATATATTTATAAATATATATGGCAGGCTTCTTGCTAGCTAGATCTTTCATCTTAAATTAACCCATTTCTATTCATCTGTGTTTTGCCACATGGCCACGGCGTTACCCATCTGCTGGTGTCTTGCTTCTCCTTGGGCAGCAGCTAGGCATCTCCCCCCTCCTCTCCTTTCCTCTCTCCATATATCTGCTTGGATTTCCCACCTGCCTCTAAGCCACCTTGCCATAGGCCAATGCAGCTTTATTTATCAACTAATCAGAGCAATACAAATTCACAGCATACAAAGACATCCCACAGTACTTCCCCTTTTATGTCTAATCAAAAAGGAAGGTTTTAACTTTAACATAGTAAAATTACATACAATAAAACAGTTATCAAGCAGGAATTATAGTTATAATATCTAGTCTATTTGTATTTGGCAAAATTAAAGAAAATATTCTATCATATATTTGTGAGTCTAAGGTTTTATATCTAATTTATCTTTTATCATAACCAAGGAAATTTATATTATATTTAGTCTTCAACTACATCAAAGACCCCAGAAGGATATAATATTACCTAAGTAAACAGGAAGTACATTGTAAGCAACTTCCAAAAATCTAAAATGACAGAGACAGCTGCCTGCCTGGACAGTCACCCAAAGTTCCTTTGCAACATTGGGGCATCCTTCTTCAGCCTGTAGGCCTAGAGTTTTTCAGTCGCATCTCCCTGTGTCCTGTAGAATGTTTGGCAGTCTCCTCTGCAAAGAAGGAACCTGAAGGACCATCTCACCTTGTTTTGGCAAAATTTAGTGGTCATTTTCCTATGGGTCCTGCACGTCCAGTTTATATAACACAGTGTTAAGCAGTCCATGCAAGAGCAGTTCTTTGCCCAGCAGGCCATTTTGCGCCAGGAAGAAGACAAACCTCCAAAAGGAGTGTCTTAAAAGCCCAACATTCTCTCGGTCTCAGATCGGTGCTGCCAGGAGCAACTGTGTCTCCTGTCAGCAGAATTCTAAGTTATTGAAATGCCATATTCTCTAGGTCTGTGAAATGTTTAAAGATTACCTATCCATCTGACCTATGTATCTGTAAATCTGGACAAGCTAAGTAACATTAACTATAGAGATGACAAGAATGGGTGACTATGAATCTGTAAGTCTTATCTACCTAAATAACCTAAGGACTAAGGCTTCATATAAACAAGGTAAACAGTCTGTAAACAAATGTGCAGCAAAAGAACA